AAAAATATACATGGTGCTTTGTGTGCGGGTGAATACGTGTGCTACGATATCATACATTCCTAAGCCGAGCCATTGTGGATGTGAAAATGCGCTGTTCGTTTTAAATATTTCGTATATTAATGATTTCAATTCAACAATCGAAAACAATGGATAATCTTATTATCATTATATGATTATTTATAATTGGTCATAATAGATTAATCTAGCATTTTAAAAGTTAAATCGATGTAATTTATGGTTTTGGATTTCCTAATAATGTAAAATTATATATCGATATTATAACCAAAATAACCAAAATCAAAAAAAAAAAAAAATTATAAATTGTAGAATAACAAAATACTGCACATGTAATTTTATCAGTAATGCAACAAAAACTACATACTGCTCAAGATTATAGTAAAAAAAAAACAAAAAAACAAATATTTTCAGTAAAAAAAGAAATATTATACTGTAAATGTTGAAATATATCAAATTTATTCATCATCAAATAATTACAAATTTGTTATAATATAAAATATACTGTATATTTATTGGTAATTTATATAAGTAGGTACGATCATATGATACGAGATTTACAAATTCATTTCATTAAGATGTCTTTACGCGTCAGTCAATTCTTATTATCTGCCAATCCAAATTTTGCCGAACTTTATGAGGAGCTAACCACGCAATACTTGGCTCCTGATGGAACCACAAAAGAATTATCACGCGAATTGAATCAAGTAACGAGGCATTAAATTTTTCCTCTTAAGAGTGACGCGTTTCCTTTTTCTAATAAGGTTCCCTACTTCACCAGGAGACATACTTGGAAGACAAGGCCTTTTACTTTGAAACCTTGGTTTTATATAATGCAGTTCAACAGTTATCTTTGCAAAAAGAATTAAGCAAAGACAAAACGGTTGACACTCAGAGAAAAGTTAATGTTGCAATTTATTTATGTATGTAACACCGTTCCTTTATATATTTACGTTACTTATCGTTCAAATTAGGTTTTAGAAGCAATAAAAAACGTTTTATCCTTCGCAGAAACAAAGCAATATATTGGATTTCGTGCTAAAGATCCCTCGTTGAAAAATAACAAGCACACGTTATTCGGATTAACAGAAGAAAATTTAAAACAACCTGTTGAAAATGAATTACAGGAATTGAAAGTTTGTAGATAATGTGTTTTATAATGAGATAAAAATATATTTATTAATTTCTATCTTGATTTTCAGATATCCAAAGAATATATCTTGACTTCAATTGAAAATAAATTAAAAGAGCAATGTGAAGATATTACAAAATTCTATTATGCTGGAGAAGGTGAGATTTTCTGTACACGATTTTACTTGTCACCAAATACAGACAATAACTCATTTACAAACTTCAAAATCAGAATTAAATCCCAAACTGATATTCACTAAGGCGGTTCATTTGAATAAAAAAGTAAACCAATGTGTTAATGATTTGTGGCACTCCAAAATCGATATAATCGCAAATAAAAGCCAGCTGGGTGAGCAAATAGTCAATTACATGAATGTAATGTATTAAAATATTTATAATTAATCGCCAATGATATATTTGAACGAAGGTGACTTATAATAATATTCAATACTAGGTAATGAAAGAAATTTTATCCAATTTATGGAATATTCTTGAGGAATTTAAACTGCACCATGAGTTTGAAAAGAACAGGGTTTTCGGGGACTATTTTTCAAGCATTATAAAATCTATCGTTTTAAAGTTCAGGTAGAAAATATGTTAATATTTTAAGAACCATTTGGAATCAAACGGTTGCTCATGATGTATTTAACTAATACAGGGTTCTTCGGTTCAACGCATTATTGTCGATTTATAACAAAGATACTGTAGAGAGACTTAAGATAATCAGGTAAATGCAACTGTAAAATTAATTAAAGTTATCATTATCCGATAATCAACAAAAAAATTTTGTTACAAGGGATGACCTATTGAAAGAAGAAACAAAAATGCGTCAGGAATTAAATGCATTAGAATCAGAACTTTCGAAATATCAAATATGCGATGAGCTTGATTCAATTGTACAGATCTACACCAAGGTAAATAAAGAAATCGAAAAAGTAAAAGATGACATTCAAAGAATGAATAGTCATTAATGTATAATCAATAAAGGTTAGTAAAACTGCGACATGAATTCATTTCCAATTGTTAAGGATATTGTAAACACAATGTAGTAATGTTTCAAAAGTTGCGATTACGTAGATTGCATAGACTTGCATATATGATAATAAATAAATGTGGGGCTGTAACTTAGAATAAATTCAATATAAAGTCTGAAATTAAATAAATTAAATTTAGAATTCTTGTAATATGTAATTGGAAATCGTTTTATAAATTTTGCTTTCTATAAAAAAAAATTATTTATTTATAATTTTATTTAAAATGAAAGTATGTAAAAAGAAAATAACAGAATTAAAAGCTTAATAAAACATCGTTATCATTTTCTTAAAAAATATTTAAGAATGTTTTTTAGTTTAATGGTTAATTTTTTTATCTACTTATTTTGTATTAATAATATACGTTAATAATAAATAAATCATTTTTTTTTTTTGCAGATGGGCATTAGATGCGCGATTTTAATACTGTATTTGTTTCTTTCTTTTTCATGAAATTATTAACCGAAATTTATTTTTTTAAAAAAATTTTATCTAAAAAAAAAGTGATGTATTATAAAGAATTACATGGTTAAGATACAAGATGGGCGATATCATCAATAATTAACACCCATCTATATTTTATTCACTTATATTTATGTACGTGATATAAAAAAAGTTATATAATTCATGTCTCACCTTAACAGTAAAAAATATATATATTAGTTAGAAAAGAACGTTTAAATTATTTTAATTTACTGTATAAACCAAACCACGTTATTCAAGATATCTTAATTTAAAGATGAGATTAGCTTCGTTAAATTCGCCGCAAAAATAGATGATCTTTAAACATGCTGATGTCCCACTTTTTGTTGTAATACATATATGCGATTTTTCCTGAAAATGTCTTTATTCATAATCCATCTTTATAATTTGTTCCTGCTAGCCATCTTAACTAGAAATGGCATGCTAGGTAAACTTAGAGATGGAATAAAGATCTTCTTTGTTTCGCTAACACTGATGAGATTCTTTTTCTAAGAATTCGATGAACAGGGTTTGATAGTAGCATTGAAACATTTTTAGTATATATATAGTGGATTCATCTTATTTCCATGCGGCCTTCAAACGTATAAACGTTTTAAGAATTCGATTACAATCCATTAGATAGGCAGAAACGCAATTTCTCCGGTAACCTGTTTAATTTGATCAATATTACAGGCTTACATGCATACTTTTTCATTTCGTTTATTAGGAATGAAATAATAGCATGGTGCAGCGAGGTCCAAAAAAAAACCATTGTTTTTACAAATGGAAATTCACAGATCACATTGCAGAAATGTCTTTCGTCATTGTGCTATTAAACCATCTAGAACGTATCCTATTATGAAAATTCACCCAGCAATTACACTAGCATCCTTTTGTT